TGGTCCGGAGGGATGCCCTCCTTGTCCTGGATCTTCGCCTTGACGTTGTCGATGGTGTCTGAAGACTCGACCTCGAGCGTGATGGTCTTGCCGGTGAGGGTCTTGACGAAGATCTGCATGCCACCACGCAGGCGGAGCACCAGGTGGAGGGTGGACTCCTTCTGGATGTTGTAGTCAGCAAGGGTGCGACCGTCCTCAAGCTGCTTGCCAGCGAAGATGAGGCGCTGCTGGTCCGGAGGGATGCCCTCCTTGTCCTGGATCTTCGCCTTGACGTTGTCGATCGTGTCAGAGGACTCGACCTCAAGGGTGATGGTCTTGCCGGTGAGGGTCTTCACAAAGATCTGCATCTGCAAACATAAAGTGTACCAAAACCATAATAAGGCACTCGTAATCATGAAACTGCAGAACATAAAGCATATATGAACCAGAAGGCCATGATCCAAGAGAGACGAAATTGTAACTATGTCTTGAACTATTAGATAGCAGATTGATGTTCAAGTTTGACCACAAGCTAAAAAGATCAGTTAATATATATGATTTTCAGACAAGAACTGATGCACAAGTACAGATACCTTCAAGTTTTGACACAACAAGATACAATATCAGTTAAATCAACAGTACTACTGTAAGCAAACACAATTGACTCTTAAGAGCAGAACCGGTGCACAAGAACGGATCCTCCAAACAACTACTAGGCCCAACAACTAACATAGGAACCAGTTTTGCTAAAGCACATCTAGGTGTGCCCAAGTATGCAACTCAGGTATATCCGTTCACAGATCAAGCATAGGTGCAACATAAAAAGGCTCATGAGCGCCACAAAGTCTGAGCGACTCAGCAGGAACCTAGCGGAATCAATCAACCACACACGCCTAGATGAACATAATCAACATCAACATCAGTTGCGTCTCAAATCGGCAGATCTACCAGATAATCCAGGCATAACCGTGAGGGATTTCACGACAACGGAGCCAAATCAACAGCAATCGATCAACAAACCTATCGTCTCGAACTAGTACTGCTAACACGGAACGAGCGGATCAACTAGAACACCTCTAATCGGCAGATCTACCGGATAATCCAAATCGAGAGGGATTTCGCGACAACCGACTACGGGGCAGATCAACAGCAACATAATCAACGATAATAGCGAGGGGCGCGGTGGGGCGCGGTCTGAAATTCACGTACCTTGGAGGTGGGCGAGAAGGCCTTGGCTTCGATTCGATCGGAAACTTTCTTGGGGTCGCTTGGGAGGAGGAGACGGGAGGGGAGGGGGATTTAAAGGGGGAAGAGTCCCGTGAGGCTACGGCACGGGTGACGACGGGTGGGGAGCGATGCGAGGTCTCTACCACGCAATTTCGGGGAAAGGCAGAGGAGAGGAGAGCGACCCGCCGCGGAGATACCAAGATGCCGTTTTGCGTTTGGCCAGCTATAAAAAAAAAGGTTGGTGACCGGCTCACGTCGGCAGTCCGTCAATGAATCTTTTCTCTACCCCTAAAAAAGGAGAGTCTTTTCTCTTCGGGAAAAAACCTTTTGGAAAATCCTTTTATCTCAACCGACTGATCTCGGGCTCTCGCAAACCTCCTCGCCAGCCGTCCGATCGCGAGAGATCGTGCGTCTCTTATCTGTCGCACGCGCCTCGGCCAGGCACTGTTGCTGCAAGCGGCCATGGGTCTTTTCGGCTGGCCGTCCATTCCACGACCTGGTGTTGGTCCTTGCAGCATTCCACTCCTCCCTCGAGACCTCAACCAACTACCTGATATGACGCGCGCATTCTTCCACAACGGCGAAGCCAACGCGAGGATGGGGAATGGAGCTTCGCATATCGACGTCTCAGGAGGCCATGGACAACGGCGCTCCGTATCTCACATACTAGGACCCTTCCTGGCGGTGTCCTGGAATATGGGGTGCTAGCCACGTCGGCCTGTCAGTCATGGGCCCGCCGAGGACCCCTAGACAACCGAAGAATGGGTCATGTTTACCATGACTCCCGGTGTACTCAAGATGAAATCCTTCGAAGAGTAGGCGCACACTTCACGACATGTTCAAATCATCGGTGTACCCCGGTCCCTACATAAGTCGAGGGGTTTAGTTCGTAGGGTTAAGTTAGATACATTCACATACAATCTCGAGGTAGATCTTCATGTACTTTGTACTCCATCACAACCAATACAACAAAAGCGGGATGTAGGGTTTTACCTCTTCGATTCGTGACCCCGGGCCTCCGCATATAAATATAGGAGCAGGGGCAGCCCCTAGAACACAAGTTTTGGAGCCTTCTCTAGTTCGCTCTTGTTCTAGTTCTCATCTAGTTTGATCTAAACTAGATCTAGTTATGTTATCTCTAAATCATCAAAATAGAGAAGCCATGTGTGGTTCTCTTCTTCTCCATTTAATTCTCCGACGATAATTAGCTCTGAACAACAAAGCGTTGTCGGATCATGAAGACCATATGCTTGCAAACTGTAGAGGTCATGCTTTCGGTCTTCGGTTCGAGCGGTCGTTCGTGAATGGTTCGAGAGACCAGTATAATGAGCGTGAGAATAACTCAAGAAGATAGCAATATATCTCACCTCGGGTTTTGTAATGTATCGTGAAGCAAAGAGAATAACATATAATAACCAAAGGTTCACTCAATATCACTCGTGTAAAAATAGGGATCAATATGGATGTCGACGGTTCCGCTACTAATCAATGAATGGAAGGTGTTTTCATTCATGTCTATATTTTACCAAACATACAGGGTCACACACTCAGGGGAACTACGATCTATTGAGTTCTAGTGGAGTGAGGAATATGAGAAAATATTCTTGGAATAGTTTCAGGAATAAAAGAAATAGTTTCGATAGAAACCGGAAGCGTCATAGGGTTACCCGAAGTGTTTCGGGAAGTACTGGGTAATACCGGAAAATAATATATATGCGGAAATTGTTTTCGGGGACCTAATCTAAATAATAAAGGGCTCCAATAATGATTGGGAGGCCCCTAGGATTTATTTAGGGGCGATGGGCTAATTAAATTAGCTAAAGGTCTTTTAGTGGAGAGATAATGGGCCTTAGGGCCCATAGCCGGCGGCATCCCCCCTTTGGGCTTGTAGGACAAGCTAAGGGGGTGCAAGGGAGTTGGAGGAGGACTCCTCCTCCTAGGCACAGGTCTCCAAGGGAGGAGTGCTCCTCCTCCAAGTCGCCCAACCCCCTATCCACCTATATATACACGAGGGGGCGCACCCTTTGAGACACAAGTTTCTCCCGTTGTCTCAGACGCACCTTCCCTGGTTCTTTCTCTCTTGTTCTAGTTTTTGATCTAAACTTGAACTAGTTTTAGTTTTCTCTACTCCACATAATAGAGCAGCCCCCGTGGGGTTCTCTTCTCCCTCCTCTAGTTCTTCGGTGACACTAAGCTTTCGATGGTGAAGCGCTGTCGAATCCCGTATGCGTGCAATCCATAGGAAGGTCGTGCTTTCGGTCTTTGGATCGAAGGATCATCGTGGATGGTTCGAGGGACTTCAAGTTTGATCTATGACAACTCCTCTTCCACTGAAACTTGAAGTTGGTAACGATCCGATCTATACTTGTATGCATCTTCATAGTCATCCGGGACCTTGACTGTAGAGTAAATTTTTTGTTTTCTACTACGTTCCCAACATGGACTCCACCGTCGCGTATTCCCCAACTCCAGGTCATTCCCGTCCGAGTCCTCGCTATCGGTCATTGCATGGTGCTCTTGACGTGGCATTGTCAACATGGTCAACAAATGACAGTCATCCGAAGATGACTATACACGGAGGATGACAGTAGGGACCCCCAGGCCCATGGCCGCATGCAACAAAGCGCCTCCTGGTACATCTCTGATACGTCTCCGTCATATCTATATTTTTTATCGTTTCATGCCAATATTCTAAAACTTTCATATACTTTTGGCAACATTTTATACTATTTTTGGGACTAACATATTGATCCAGTGCCAAGTGCCAGTTCCTGTCTGTTGCATGTTTTTTGTTTCGCAGAATATCCACATCAAGCAAAGTCCAAATGCGATAAAAATTTACGGATATTTATTTTGGATGTATGTGATTTTGGGGAAGAAGAATCAACGCAAGACGGTGTCCGAGGGGGGCACGAGGCACGAGGGCGTGCCCAGGGGGTATGGGCGCGCTCAGGTGGCTTGTAGGGTCATCATAGGTCGGTTGCTACCCTTCTTTCACCGCAAGAAAGATAATATCCAGAAGAAAATCATGTTAAAATTTCAGCCCAATCAAAGTTGCAGATCTCCGGGAATTTAAGAAACAGTGAAGGGCCAGAAAACAGGAACGCGAAACACAAGAGAAGAGAGAGAGAGATCCAATCTCGGAGGGGCTCCTACCCTCCAGAAGCCATGGAGGTCATGGGCCAGAGGGGAAACCCTCCTCCCATCTAGGGGGAGGCCAAGTAAGAAGAAGGGGAAAGGGGGCTCTCTTCGCCTCTCTCTCGGTGGCCCCAGAACGCCATCGGGGCAACCATCGTGATGACAATCTACACTAACAACTTCGTCGCCGTCATCACCAACTCTCTCTTCCCCTCTATGCAGCGGTGTAACACCTCTTCCCCCCTATAATCTCTACTTAAACATGGTGCTTAATGCTATATATTATTATCTAATGATGTATGGCCATCTTATGATGTTTGAGTAGATTCATTTTGTGCTGGGTTGCTTGATGATCGTGATTGGTTTGAATAAAAATTATCGGTATGTTCCGGTTTTTGTTTTGTTCACATGATATGTGTAAATTCTTGGAGCGTCGTGTGCTTTTTATTTTTATTTTAGTGATGCACCATGCTAGTATGAGATAGTCCTAGTTCATTTATAGAATGCTCTTTGCACTTCACTTATATCTTTTGAGTATGGCTTTATAGAATGCTTCATGTGTTTAACTTGTATCATTTGAAGTTTGGATGCATGTTTCCCTACATACATAAAAACGTTATTTGTAGAATGCTCTTTTTCTTCACTTATATTTGTTAGAGCATGATCTTTTGTAGAAAGAATTAAACTCTCTTTATTCACTTATATCTATTTAGAGAGTTAACAGGAGTTGGTCATTCACATGGTTAGTCACAAATCCTAAATAAAACTTCTATATCATAGAATATGATATGTTTCATTCCTTGCAATAGTTTTGTGATATAGAGATGGTAATATGTGGGAGGTACTAGTGAATGATTATGGTTTAGTAAGAATATTGGTGTTAAGGTTTGTGATTCCCGAAGCATGCACGTATAGTCTGTCGTTGTGCTAAGAAGTTGGATCATGATTTATTATTGATTGTCTTCCTTTGCGTGGAGGTCGGGGCGCGCGATGGTTAACTCCT